AGAAGAAAAGTGGAATCAAGAGTAAAGCTTTAGAATCACCAAAGGCAGAACATTCACAGTCTCTTTCCGGGTTGCAGTGTGCAAAGGGTGGTAACAAGGGAGTGTTTGTTATTGGAGTTAAAGAAGGATACTCACCTATCTAGAAGTTTTACGCAGTGAAACCAAAGAGCACTTGACACACATCAGAGTGACCCTAAGTTACCAACTGAGTCAGGTTTTCTTTCCACAGCGTTGAGGCTGAAAACTGGAAGCATTTGACAAAATTTGCCAGAAAAAACCATCACTTTACCACCAAACAGCTCTGAATTGTCTATTATATTACACAGAGCTTGATCAACAGTTTGAATTGTGTAGCATTGTTATGATCTCAAATCAAATATTTTGTTTTTGGAAAATCTTGGAAATTTTCATTTGAGAGTCATCAACATGATCCCATAATGCTATATTTCATTTTTTTTCAGTTTCTGCCCAACCATGTGTGAGAAATATTTGTTCATCACAGAGTTTTTGTAACCAGAAAGCGTTTTCTGCATTCTGATTTTGGACATTTAAGTTCATCAGTGTGGACTATTCCATCTCACATACAGTTGTACCCCTACAACCCAGCCACCACTATCAATACCCCTACAACCTGGCCACCAATATTGACTACCAGCCAGCAATCCACCTACCACTTTCACCAATTTCTTGGCTGATTGATGTACACAACAATGCGGGGTAAATTACTGACCTCGTTGACCTGTGCACATCAAGAAGCAAACAAGCCTACCTACCACCAAATCAGAGCAAAATCACAATGCTTGCACACCAATCCCTGCTCCGAACTAAAACTATTGCTTTCTGATAAACAATGGAATGATCTTATTAGTTTGGGATATCTCATCACAAAAAATCCTCTTACTAAACTCAATGGCCAGATCTTTGCATCTGATCCATCAACCAATCCTCTAATTTGGAGCTATGATTTTTTGCAACCCAAAACAGGCTGGTTAGGTGAGCTGATACTTTTCTTTCTTCACACATTTGAGGATTTAAACTTGGACCATCTGTTTCCCCAGAAGCCTCTGACTTCCTGAGCTGCTTTGCATTTGCACCTGACACAGTGCGGTTTGGTGAGTTTGTACTTCATCAGCTTTGCTTCAGAAATTTTTAGATTATGAGACAAATAATACTTGATTTCCAATACAGAAAGATAGAGAACCAGAAAAGGAGAGAATGAAAAGTACCTAGAGGATATTGATGATCTCACAGGAGGAGACTTAGGAAACAAACAAAACAATCCACCACACAATACTCGCAAACAGGAAGACTGAGGATATATATTAGTGAGATTCTGAAACATGATGAGACAGAGAAAAAGAGGAAACAATAAGTACCACTTCTTTCAATTTTGGCAGCGGAGGACCTCAACATTGACTAGTGATTTGATCTTGATGATTAATCCTGTCAAATTAGATTTTTGGAACAAAAAGATTCCAGTTGAGATGAGGAGAGTCACTGTTGGGTTGACACAGCCAGGGATAAAGGACTGGCTGCGCAGGGTGTGGGACTCCTGTGGTACGGATAATAATATGTGGTAAATATCTGAGGGGGAAATCAATTGCTAGATAGTTGAAGGCTATTACAACTGACAGGTGGTTTGAAATACCTTCCCCTCTAATATTACTACACAAGTATAAGGAATCTTGAATCAATATTTGAATAAAGATGGCTAATTTCAAGACAGAGTTACTATGTATAGTAGCCTCTATCAGACCTAGATCACCCAAACAATACTCTTGCATACCTACTATAACTTCTGATGATGGATAAACAACCCAGTGGGAGTGAATATGTGAAATATGTATAAATAATAATAACCAGTCTAACCACTACTACTATTGCTGATTTTTAATGACTCTTTTTGTTGATGTTCTAATAATTCCACTCTACCTCTATAGTCAAAAATATTGATTTATAACACTACTACTAACTAACCACTAACCACTAACTAACTAACTACTAACCAAACACTACTAACTTGTAGATCAGGAAAGGCTCCT